CCATTCCGAGATAGATTGACACAGTGGCATCAACAATGGACTCAAACATGACAAGACCCCCAGCAAGACTGACTGGCACAGTGACAGCAGCAATGGGCTCAAGTGTAACAACAATTGTGAGGATGGCACAGGACCAGGCAGTGTTTTGTTCTGTTGTGCATAGAGTATCCATGCGTCGAAGCTGTCTTGATGGCACCTAACAAAATTGGTGTGCTGCTGCGGATGTGCAGGACTGCAAGATTTGTTTGAACCACAGGGCTGGCGGTTCAAACTCACCAGCTGCTCCTTGGAAACTCTATACAGGGTCACTATGAGTCAGAATTGACTCAAGAGCACTTTACAACAATGGTAACAACAAAAATAATCCATTCAAACTCCACTATCCTATATCTGTTGTCCTTTGGTGACCCCAAAACACAGATTCTTGGGGATAGCAGAGTATCACTCACTTAGACAAAACACCCCCTGCTTCTCCAGCTATTCATCACATACCTTGCCTTGCTCAGCCCTCCTCCCATCCTCCTGGGAACCCTCTCTGGGCACAATTATTGTCAATGGAACCGGACCAGTGCAGAGAAAGGGTAGATCATCAGTGCTTTTATTATGAGCACAAAGAGCTCTGGTGACACTATGGATTAGGCGTTGGGCTGCTAAATGCAGGGTCAGTGGTTCAAACTCACCAGCAGTGCTGAGGGAGAAAGACAAGGTTGTCTTTGTTTGCTCTCATAAAATGTATAGTCTCAGGAACTCTGCACAGGGTCTCTATGAGTCAGAATCTACCTGATGACAGTGATTTTGGTTTTGTTTGTTATAAGCATTGTTCTACCACTTATGAATTGAGGGCATGGGAGCCAGTCAGGGGTCTTCCTCTGCTTGAGAGCTTTTGTAGTTCCCCTAGTGCAGGTTAATGCACTGCACTTCAAAGGTGGTTTGAACCACAATGTCAGCAGTTCAAGCTCACCAGGCACTCCTCAGAAACCCTATACAGGGTCGCTGTGGATTGGAACTGACTC